TATCCGGTACCGGTTTTGAGGTTGTTGGCTACGCTGCGCGTGTGCTCATAGCTGGCGACCCGTTCGAAACGAACTATTTCATCATTCACCTAATCACCCTCTTACTCGCGCCGACACTTGTTGCTGCCGCGATATCCATAACTTTCAAGCGCCTCGTGCTCTGGTACGGTTCCCAGTGGTCACTTTTACGCCCTTCGCTATACCCCTGGGTCTTTGTAGGCACCGATTTCGTGTCAATCTTCATTCAGGTCATTGGCGGCGGCGCTACAGCAACTGTGGCTACAGGATCCGGCAATGAAGCCGTTCGAAAGCTCGGCGAGGCAATGATCATCAGCGGTGTCGTCTTCCAGGTTGTCAACATGCTCTGTTGTAGCATATTGATGCTTGTCTACGTTAGGCGTCGCAAGAAGGCACTGCTCGAGGGGCCCGCGGAGATAGGTTCGGACCAGCAACACCTCAACCCGACCAACCGCGGCGTGATTCCATTATCTCGTAGCGAGGCTACGGATCAAGAAGCTCGTCGGGTCACCCTCTTCGTCTACGCCATTGCTATTGCGTATGCTGCCATCATTATCAGATGCTGTTACAGGTATGTACTCCATGAGACAGTCTATGTAACTGGTTCTGACTTCTATAGAATCGCAGAAAGTATTCCGGCCATTGCAAAGGACGTCATGAGAAATGAAGCAGTATTTCTGGTGCTAGATGGAGCCATGATTCTTATCGCCATCGGCTCCGTCACCGCGTTCCACCCCTACAAGTTCTTTCCATATCTCGGTATCAAAACGCTCAAGGAAAAGAATATTTCTACACAAGAGGGCTATCAAATGGGAAATATGTAGAACAGCTTTCAAACAGTTTTGTAGAAAAACAAATAGATTGGAGGTAAAAGTCGAAGTCACCAATCAGGGGGAATCCAATGAAGAAGAATGTTGTCCTATGGAATTTTAGGGACTGGACCAAAGGAAACCTAGTGCCAGATTCAACACAAGCGTAAGCCAAATTTATCTAAAAAAACGATCAATAAACTGTGTCAACGAGCGCGCAAGTCATTCAACGGCAACCCTAGAGGCCTAGTTGCCACACATGTTTATTTCGTAATATGAGGCATTCCAATATATAAATGGTGATAGTAGCCTCCACGTATGCGGGATCAAATAAAATAACATGAGTGGCGAGACTGGAAGGCAACCTTACAAGTAGTTGCTTGACTAATACATAGTACCTAGAATTATCTACGTAAGCCCTTTGATCTAAGGGAGACCCCCTATGACCACCTGGCCTACAGCCCTACCTTTGTTGTACATGGTGCCTATGGTACCTATAGTACCCTTAAAGATGCAATGCATGGAGGTACTTCCTACTAGTGATCTGAGTAGCGTACCTATAAGACTAGATATGGCTAGCTTACTCTAAATTACCAATACATCTTCTCCCAGCTGTGTTAGGAAGTAAGGTCATTAATACTCTTTTATATTTACTTGACGTCAAGTCACATTATAATACCAATCTACGATTCGCAAATCGGGTTATGAATTAACATGAAAATACCTATTAACGTTGAACTTACTCTTTTCCTGAGCTCGAACCCTTTGCTCTACTATGCTCTGCTAGGGATCATACCAAGCAAAACTGCACAAGTGGCACACCAGCCGCCTTAAGATATGCAGGAGTCAGTGTTGGATCCGATTGTATCTCGTTTCCAGTTGAACGGTTCCTGTAGCGTTGGAAAATGAGAGGATCGTCGCCCGTCCTGAGATACTGGTCCCTTGGTACTATCTCAAATTCTGGCGAAAGAGGAAGACGCGGATCCTGGTCGGTTGTTTCGCTAGTAGAGGTATTGAAGTACCGGTAAAATCCAGCTCCCTCTGTACTATCTGTAGAGAAGCGAACGACCCAAGGAGTTGGAACAGCACCGAGGAAGCATTTAGCATCCGCAAGATCTGGCATCAAGCATTCGCCGATGACCTCAAATTTGTGGTCGGTGGCCCCACGCAGTAAGACTGGGCTATCACAGCCAAGGAGACAGGCCACAATGTCGCCTAGCGAGTCCAGGTGAGCTTGGGAGTTCAACAAAATCACATAGGAGTGGACGCTCACCTTGCTTTGTATCTGCAGGCCCAATTCCGAAGTTTCCGTCGCTATTCATCAACACCCTTCTTCCCAACAGCATCTTCAAAAAGTAGTTCTCCCACTGAGAGAACGCTTTTTCCGAAGACAGATCACCATCAGCGTCCGAAAAGATGAACGACCTGGCAAGGCTATCCTTGAACTGATCTCGGTCGCCAATCATGTTTTCGGGCAGCCTTTTACACAAAAAGTCGCCGAAGACAACCCAGAAGAAGTCTAAGAGTTTCAAAGCTCTCATGCCTTCAAAATCTCTCTGCAGTTCTCTCACAGTACTCAAAGTATCGTAAATGGAATAGGGATTACCTTCTCCGCAGTCGGGGATAACCCTACCGACAGTCTGGATAGCTGCAGCGCGTACCCCAGTGACGTGGAGGTCAACACCCCGAACTTCAACTTGGCATTTTGAGTACCCTGAGCAGAAGTGCCAGTTTCCTAGAGTTGAGCTGCTTAAGTCTAACGAAGGAAAGTTGGGTACCCAGCTTGGCATATTGAGCCGTCGTGCATGGGAAGTGCACATTCGTAGCAGTTCGAGGCGTTCATAAGTCTCAATGTGAGACTTGACAAAGGCAGCAAACACCTCCGAAGTAGAAAGCTTGTATTCGACATGGATCTTCTTTCTTAGACGGGCTGGAAATAATCCCAGGGCGCCATATATGACATCTTTGTTGTCCGTACAATTGCCGCGTGAAGTACGTCTCAAGATGTAGTACGAGGGGCTGTCCGAGCGAATGGGTATGGCCAGGCCGCAGACAGGATCCAACGTGTCTCGTGACAATGCTGGGTCAAGTTCATGTTTCATTTTCAGAGTGATGACAGAATGCCCGAACGCCTCGCGGGTCATTTCATCCCTGCCGCACAGAAACACTGCATTCTTTGCGAGGTGGAGTTCCTGCACAATCCAAATACGACTGAACCAGGCGCGGTTCAGTAACGAATCGATAGCCAACCAGGTTGCCTTATCGTACGGTAGTAGGACGTTTCTGTCGTGCCAATCCGCTTCTGTCGCGCCAGGTGCGCTGCAAATCCACGAATCGGCCCTCACTATCACTTGAGCCCCGAGGTTACTGAGGGCGTGCATTGCTAGTGCACTGTCATGCGAAGAAAGCCCAAGCCAGATCATGACTCGCACGGCTTCCTTGTACACAGTGGCCGCTCCTTTGACTTGTACAGCGACCTCATCGAGATCTTGCTGATTGATGCAAATGGCGTCGACCCAGAGCGTGCGGGGTCTATTCTCATATCGCAAATGACGCAGTGCAGAGGCCAAATTTGGTCGGACATGGAGCGCGTGGAAGCTGCCCTGGTCGAGGCGGTGGTCTCGTGAGATCACTCTGATGCTTTCCGAATCATCAGCAGCGCCCCATGTGTAGGACAATGCTTCAAAGCTTGGATCGTGCTGGGACTGAGGGAATTTTTGGTAGGGGCTCAGATCAAAGTCTGGATCTGGGTGCGCCCACTGCGATAAAGGTTTGCCCCTGCCATCGTCATGGAGAAAGAAAAGTCTACCTGACATATCCTCATGGGCCTTCCAGCCTTCAGGTAGCCTTTCCGCGAGGTGCCGCAAACTGAGTCTCGGTGGTAGCTCGGATGGCGTCAGGGCAACATGGTGGATGCTAAGCTGAATGTCATCAGTGGGAAGGCCTGGGTGTAGTTCGATCAGCCTGATGTGGCCATCAGCCAAAGGTTCGTAGACGTAGTTAGGCATTGTTTTCGTTACGCCGTTAAGATACAACGGTGAGTGCGTTGGGTATGGAGTCGAGTAGGAGTGTGGTTACAAAGTGGTGCAACGCGGGGCTGGTCAAGGGACCCATTTCGTTGAACTGCATGATGATCAAAATAGTTCTCGGCCCCCAACGTGGAATAGTCACATGACCATGCATGTTGGTGGTCCAGCAAGTGAAGGCAGATTTCGATTGCGATGAACGTTTGTTGGTGTTTGTTGGACTCCCTTACACAATGTTCGGAGAACCTCCCCTGCAGGCGTGTCTGGAATGCCTGTATCTGGTTTGTCAAGCTCATGCGACCATCCCTCCTTAGTGGTTACTGACCTTGTTCATGGGACCTGACCAACCGGAAGATCACCCCCTGGGGGCTGTCACGGAGGCCTGTGCTACGATTCATAGCGAATCGTCCTGAGTTGAAAGCTCCCAATCATCACGCCGAGACTTACAAGGTGGCATTGTAGTTCATGATGTTATAGGTATCTCACCTAACGCCTTAAGTTATACGCCTACGACTCGGGTTTTCTAAAATGCCTACAAGATTACTTGATCGACTGCAGTAAAGGTGGCGCTCAAAGTAATCGTGACTGGTAGATACTCGTAGGACGGAATGTATATAAGTCTCGCCAAAAGCATGGCATCCATGATGTTAAGCATCATGCGAGCTGGAAGGGGCGCATTTTATTACATAAATGCATGAGAAAGTTGGTGGAGGTGACTCACCTCCTCAAGAACCCACGCCTCTTGAATCTGGAACCCGGGACTCAAGTCAAAACGAGCGAAGACAATACGACTGTGTTGAGCTCAAGTGTTTCCGGTACGGACTTTTTTTCGCCGGCTGCGTGCCAATTATTTTATGAAGGATTCCAAATCCTTGCTACTTTCAGGCTCGCAAAGCCCCTGATAATCAAGTTGTCAGCACTAACCCATTTTGGATTCAAATCTCGGTCTGCAGATCCAGTAAAATGATGCTGAATTTATCGAAAGGGGCTCGTGCCAAAGGGACAAGTGCCTCATCACGTCGAGTATCATCGGCATGCGACATCAAGAATTTTCAATTGACCGACCGCAGCGCCATGGACTCGAAGACGCTCATTATTTTTGTGAGCACCACACTAGCCGTGTTGATTCCCGGTATCTTTTTGTATCGATTGTGGTTCTCGTCAACTGCAGAAGCGGACAAAAGACGCGAGATCAATGAGCCGCAAACGATAATTTTTCATCCGGAGCCTGCCAAGTATATTCGAGACCTGGCCATCGCACTTCCGAATAGTCTCATCCTACCGACAGATGTGCTTGCATTCAACGCTTCTCTGAAAGTTTGGTTTTCCTCACAGAACCGAGACATTATCCCAGCATGCATCGTCAAGCCAAAGAGTGAGAAAGAACTCAGCCTGGCATTGACTCACCTCCGTCGAGAGCATACAATCAGAGCCAAAGACCCAGCAAATGTCGGCCACGGCCTTTTCGCCGTGCGAGCGGGCGGAGCCAACCCTGCTACAGGCATTTCGGGCGTGAAAGATGGCGTCATTCTTGATCTGTCGCTGCTTTGCGATATAAAACCTTCCGCCGATGGATCCAGTGTCGTCGTCGGCGCAGGTGCTTACTGGCGAGACGTTTACCGAGCTTTAGAGGCTAGGGGACTAGGAGTTGTCGGTGGCAGGTCCTCACCCGTCGGGGTTGGAGGGTCAACATTGCAAGGTCAGTGGCGAATTGTTCTTTCCTTATATTCGTTGTCCCAAGCATCTTGTGGCTTATTCGTATGGAAGGTGGTCTATCATTCTGGTCACCTAAATTCGGGTTGATATGCAACAATGTGATTAGCTATCAGGTCGTGCTCGCCGATGGTAGCATCGTCACCGCGTCTGCGGATGAGAATAACGATCTATGGCGATCACTCAAGGGTGGTGGCAACAACTTTGGCGTCGTCTCTCAATTCACGTTGCGTAGCTTCCGTGCACCCAAAAACATCTGGACTGGAACTTTTGCGACTCCTGGATTTCTCAGCACTCGCACAATTACAGCGTTTTACGAACATGGAGAACGCGCCATGTCAGGCAAGCCTGGCATGTTTGATGAGCACGCTTCGACGCCTATCCTTTCGCTCTCGTACATCACAAACCTGGGCATTAAGATGCACTTCTGCCACATGGTCTATACAAAACCGTCAGACAACAACAACGATTGGCCGAAGTACTGGAAAAAGTCTCCTCTTCGCTCGTTGTGGCGTTTCCAAAATACGTCTCAAAACGAGTCACTCCATGATTCCGTCATGACGCTGGGCTCCTTATCTGTTACTGACGACCGCAATGCTTTTGGCACCACAACAATCAAGAGCGACCTTGCGACACTGTTGGCTGTGCGACAGATCTTCAGTGAAGCCACTCCTTCTATCAAGCATGTCAAGAATTGCATGTTCATCTACATCACGCAGATGGTGCTTCCTCAGTGGGTAAACAAGGGCGATCCCAATGTGCTGGGCCTTGAGGAATGCCAGGAGCCTCTTGTCATTATCAGCTTCGCCGTCAATTGGGGAACAGCCGAGGACGACGAGGCCGTCACAGGTGCCGTACGCCGGACTATTTCGCGTATTGAGGAATTAGCGGCTGCGAACGGCACAGCTCACCCATATCGTTTTTCGAATTATGCGGCCGAGTGGCAAAATCCATTGCAAGGGTATGGGGAGAACAGCTTGCGGTTTATGCAAGATGTCAGCAAGAAATATGATCCAGAGGGGCTCTTCCAGACAGGATGCTTGGGTGGTTTCAAGCTCGATATCGGGCAGAACTCATGACGGATTGTAATTGATTAATTCGGCAATTATGTTCACAGCATCCTCTCTATAAATCTCCCATTCTGTAACGCAAAGCCTCCACTTTCCCATTGAACAACAGTATCATGCACAACTTAAACAAAATGTTGAGAGGTGGTTTGTTCGTGTGGCATTGGCAGTAAAGGTGATGATTCTCATTGGGGTAAGCTTTTGGCTTGCTTGAACAATAAGTATCAGTTTCCCTGCATTCTTTTACCTCTACCCGAGGCCGCCCCGCGACAGATTGCAGGAAGATGAAGCAGAGTAAGGATCTGTGGGGAAACTTACACCAGCTCTTCCCACATGGAGAAGATGGTGTGACTTAACCCCAGATACTACGGTGGCACCATGGTGGACCACCGACGATTCTACGATCTATTGCCCCCGCAAATGATGTAGGTTCCAGCAACGTCATGCCTCCCTTCTTCGGCAGGGGAGCGCAGAGGAGGGAGGAGGTGGATGGGTTCATTACCATAGCAGATGCTCGTTCATGTGGGGCCGACTGTGACGAAACTCTAATCGAGGTGACCAGCGCTCGCTGCTGAACTGGAGGCGACTGGTTGTAAGGTGGGATCGTGGAGGCAGTGCATGATGTGGGGTTCCCCACGGAGGCCGGGTCATTTTATGTGGGATACCTCACGAGCGTTTGACTGCTGAAAATGAAGACCTCATGCGGAATTCCATCTACAGTGCATGACTCTGGATTTGCATTTGCGACACCAGTCAAGATGAAAGCCGATTTTTCTACATATCGCAACATTATTGCTGGCGCGCCACGCACGGGCAAAACCGTGAGCCACGGAACTGATCCTTCCACTCGCAAGCCCCTATGGGACATTCCTGTCGCATCTGCTCAAGACCTCGATGATGCTGTGGCCTCAGCTCAGGCAGCTTTTCTCATTTGGTCGCAGACTCCCTGGAAACAGCGACAGGCTTGCCTTCGGCAGGCTAGAGCGTTGCTGCAGGAGAACAGGGAATCCATGGCCAAATTGATTTCATCCGAAGGAGGAAAGCCACCGCAATTTGCAGATTTAGAGGTGACTCACGGTCTGCGGTATATCGATTATTATGGTAAAGTGCAATGTTCACCGATATTTTGTACTGGACTGACACAAAGCAGCCGATATGGAAGAACCAATGCCTGAGATAGTACAGGATGACGCCGAACTACGTCTAACACTGCATCATGCCCCAGTCGGCGTGGTCGGCGCTATATGCCCGTGGAACTTCCCCCTTGTCTTGGGTCTCTCAAAGATTGCCCCAGCTCTGGTCACGGGGAATTGTGTGATCACCAAACCCTCGCCATATACGCCCTACAGCATTGTCAAGTTCACAGAGATCGTGTCCCACATCTTCCCACCTGGAGTGTTGCAGGCGTTGAATGGAGGACCAGAATTAGGGCCTATGATCTGCGACCACCCAGGCATCCAAAAGATCAGTTTCACCGGGTCCACAGCAACAGGTAAAAAGATAATGCGATCGGCCAGCAAGACTTTGAAGAATATTACTCTCGAACTTGGCGGCAACAGTGCAAGCATCATTTGCCCGGATGTCGATGTTAATACTACAGCACCAGAGGTTGCTCTTGGTTCGTTCTTCAACTCGGGCCAGCTCTGTGTGGCTAGCAAGCGCATCTACGTGCACGAAGCTGTCTACGACTCGTTCCTCAAAAAGCTTGTCGAAACAGTCGCATCTTGGAAGGTTGGACCTCCTTCCACTGAAGGAGTAATGCTTGGCCCCGTACAAAACGACATGCAATACAAAATAGTCAACTCGATCTCAGACGACGCCACCCGCAACGGCTATAAGTTTGCCCTGGGGGGGCAGAAGAAGCTGGACAGCTCCAGCTTTATCATTCCTCCTGCCATCGTCGATTGCCCTCCAGACTCTTCAGTCGTTGTACAAGTGGAGGCGTTTGGTAAGCTACGAAAGCCGTTCATCAGAGACATATCTGACATTCTTTTAGGGCCCATAGTTCCAGTGATGAAGTGGTCAGACGAAGACGACCTCATTTCAAGAGTCAATGACACCACCACTGGACTTGGAGGTGCTGTATGGTCGAAGGACCTTGTGCGCGCTCATCATCTCGCATCTCGCATCGAGGCTGGTACTGTCTGGATCAACAGTTTCGAGAAACCCCTTCCACAAGCCTATATGGCCGGTCACAAGGAGTCGGGTATTGGTGGAGAGGGTGGAAAACAAGGTCTCTTTGTGTTTCTTAACCCAAAGATGATCCATCTTTACAAGGCGCCTGTGGGGGCCAAATTGTAACGGTCTATCGTTAAGGTTCATACTCCGGGATCTCTATAAGAAGAATCTCGCGGTACTTGTACGTTTTACGGTCATATTCAATCATCATTAGGAATCTTGAGCAATTTTGAGTGGCGTCTTCGTCGTGACTACGATACACATGTCTCATACATGCACACAGTTCGCATAAACCATCGCGTTCAAATCACTGACCTGATTGAAGGAATACATGCTTTTCCTAAAAGGGAACATGAAAGCATCCCATGAGATTTGAGCGATAATGTTAATGGACCAGATCGCTTGAAGGGGTTCAGGCAGCACATTGTAACTTTGTTGGCGACCTAAAGATGCAGAGAAGCTTCTTCATGGTTAAATTTGACACGTGAAGTAAGACTCAAAATTGTAACATATCGATTCATCTGTTGGCCGCTATGACAGAAATCTGCCAAAGATATCATTACATGCTTATGGAGAAAGTGAAAGTCTCTCATTACGCCGGTCCCGCAGCCAATACGTAAGGACGGGTTCAAAAAACAATGTGAAAGCTTAACCTCAGAAGCTGTAAGGATCGACCACAGCCGTGATATACATGTCACTGTAGCATCCTTAACCTGGGGAGTTCGCTCAGCCTCTCATTTCAGATCTCCCCGCAGCTGCCCACTGATAATATCGTTTTCTGCAGTAAAGTCCAGGCTCCTCAACAATATACTTTGCAGAAACAACGTTCAGCTCTCATAGACGGCTGTCATGGCTGCGAAAGAGTCCAGCAAACCTCTCTCGAGCATCCTGCACGCAATCGTGACCGTAAACCATCTGTTGGACTTCTGGGCTCACCCACTTATCTGGCACGGGAGCTCCCTTGGCCTTGGCAGCCGCGAACTGTCGATCTCTCTCCCTCTTTGCTTCCCCATCTTGCAGATGGAGCGACCGAGCTGAGGCAGCGGCTAGGTTCACAATGGTTGAAGTTCGAGGCTTCCTGAGGCGCTCGTAGGCCTTCAAGGAGCGAGGGATTGTCTCCGAGTCAAAACCGGCACCCAAACCCAGAGACACAATCTCTGCCAAGCAAGCCGCATCCTCGATGGCCATGGCAGCCCCTTGAGCTACATGTGGTAGCGTTGGATGGCAAGCATCTCCTAACAACGCAACCCCTCCACGAGTCCAGGTAGCCAATGGCTTGTGGCTGCGCAATCGCCATTCGACAACGTCACCCTCGGGCGCGAGGTCAAGAAGTCTCTGGACGAGGGGACAAAAGTCTGCAAATACAGCTTTCATGGCTGTCTTGTCACCTTTGGTCGACCAAGCCGTATTCGCCGGACCCGCAAAGTTCACATCGGGCTGCGTCGTGGCGATATTATATATCGTGTGGTTATGAACGGGATACGCAATCAGGTGTCTTCTTGGTCCGGTCCATCGTCGCACAACGTCGCTGTCAATCAGAGAAAGCAGCTCTGGGTCAGCGACCATTCGTTCGCGATCAACCAAGATGCGGTAGGCTGAGGTTCCAGTTTCCTCAGACTCTGCTGAGAGATCAAGCCCGCTAAGCAAAGAGTCCCGAACAGCAGATTTGATCCCGTCGGCTCCAATCAGAATGTCGGTCTGGAGAAACTGGCTAACCTGCCCTTCGTTTTTCACGACAAAGTGAACAGGGCCAGGCCCAAAAGACGAAACGGCTTCGAACGTATGGCCAAAGTGAAAGTGCACTGCAGGCTCAGCCTTGGCGGCATCATAGATACCGCCAGCCAGTGAAGCACGATGACCGGCATGGTGTGCGTATCCGTACTTCTGGCCGACATCTATCATCGGTACCCGAGCTAGCTCGCCATTCGTTGGACCGTCAAGGACTACTACTTCCTTGACGTTTGTTGCCTCGCGTGCGATGGCGGAATCCTGCCAAATGTCGAGCCTATCGAGGACGCGGATCAGATTGGGTGCAATCTGAATACCAGCTCCAACGAATCCCAGCGCAGGCGCGTTTTCGTAAACATCGATTTGTTTAAATCCCTTTCTAGCAAAAGCGAGTGCGGCAGTGAGGCCGCCCATTCCTGCTCGATTTAGAAGACATCAAGTTTGAAATTTGCTGACTGGCTTACCGGCCCCGATGATGGACACTCGTTTCTCCCGATAGTCTGCCATGGTATCCTCTGATTACGGAGCTGAAAGAGTTCAAGGATTAGGTAAAGTTCTGCTTGGCGATTGGGGCCAATAGCTTCAACACCAGATCCCCAGCCTAGTGATATAATTGCTTCATCTGGGGATCATGGAGAACTCTGGTGGGACAGGTGGGTCTGCTACCACAATGGCAGCGTTGCCTAGTCCCCACGCGACGCGGGGTTGGTCTGCCACAATGCACCATAAGCAAAGTGTCATGAATGCACGTTCACAAGATAGGTGGGGCCACTATTGCTTTTCCTCCGGCATCGGGAATCCCCCCCGAGGTCCGACGACGCCGACTCGGTGGAGCCGCCTTGAGCTTAGCATACATGTACGACAGCTGAAGAGGTATGCCCCAGTGACGCCGGTACCTCGCTGCGGGGCAGAGTAACAGGCTAAAATGTACGAAAACAATAAATGAATTGGCGAGTGATGCCCATTTTTCAAGAGATTGTAGGTCCAGTACTGGTAGACTGTAGAACATGAATACCGATGCATACGTGGTCCGATCGGCGATCGTTTCTCTGAGTCGAATTGAGGCGCATGTGGTGCTGACAAAGTTGTCCTATGGCGAACTGCCGAAAATGTCTGCCGAACTGTAGATTGTCAGGGAACATCCGGCAAAACTGCCGAAAACGCCAACCACAGAGGCTTTAGCGTGGTGCGGCCACCGTGACTCGCTGCACCTCACCATGTGGCATGGTCACAGTAAGGTCAAGTATACCGATATCTGTCCCCGAAACAATTGCCATGCCATTGACCTCGGTCAGAATCCAGGGTAGGGTTCAATTGACCATGCCTCTTGGGATGAACTCCAGATCAATAAAGTCGGGCGGCACGTCGCATAGTAATCAGAGAAGCCAATTAGCACAGAAGGACTCCGGCCTTTTTCGTCCAACGCAGCCTTTTCTTGCAAAGACCGGTAGAACTGAAGACCATGG